ATTAGCTGGGCATGGTGGTGCGTGCCTGTAATCCCAGCTACTCAGGAGGCTGAGACAGGAGAATTGTCTGAACCCAGGAAGCGGAGGTTGCGGTGAGCCGAGATCGCGCCATTGCACTCTAGCCTGGGTAACATGAGTGAAACTCCGTCTCAAAAAAAAAAAAAAAATGTGGCAAACCTGAAGTTCCCTTTAGCGTTTCAATACTGAATAAAAATGAACTATAAATTATAATTTATCATATAGCAACACATTTAAAACAGGTTGTTTTTTGTTTTTTGTTTGTTTTTTCTTTTTTGTTTTTTGAGACAGGGTCTTACTCTGTCACCCCAAGGGGGAGTGCAGTTTACTGTAGCTGTAGCCTCAGCCTTTCTGGGCTCAGGTGATTGTCCCACCTCAGCCTTCCCAGTAGCTGGAACTACAGATGCGAGCCACCTCGCCCAGCTAATTTTTGCATTTTTTGTAGCGATCCAGTTTCATCATTTTGCCCAGACCAGAAAGATTGCTTGAGACCAGCTTGGACAACATACCTTGTCAGAAGGGGAAAAGAAAGGAAAGGAAAGGGGAAAGAAAAAGAAAAGGAAGGAAGAAAGAGACAAATGTATTATTAGAGAACAGAGGCATCACTGGGCCGGGTGGGGGGTTCCCTACTAGGGAAGCTGAGGTGGGAGGATCTCTTCAGCCCAGGAGATGGAGGCTGCTGTGAGCTATAATCACATAACTGCACTCTAGCCTGGGTGACCACAGAGTGACTCTGTCTCAAATTTTAAAATGGTGGCTTAGCTGGGCGGGGTGGCTCACGCCTGTAATCTCAGCACTTTGGGAGGCTGAGGTGGGCGGATCACCTGCGGTTGGGAGTTTGAGACCAGCATGACCAACATGGAGAAACCCTCTCTCTATTAAAAAAAATACAAAATTAGCCGGGCGGGGTGGCTCACACCTGTAATCCCAGCACTTTGGGAGGCCGAGGTGGGTGGATCACGAGGTCAAGAGATCGAGACCATCCTGGTCAACATGGTGAAA